ATGGACAGCTGAACACATAGTGTTCCTGGAGCCTGGTTCCCTGGAGATTACATGGAACCTGCTCACTCCTTCCCTTGTACCTTACACTATGCATCTTTTTATCTCTAGCCTTTGTAATAGCTTTTACAGTAAACAAGCAAAAACAAGCGTTTTTCTGAGTTCTGTGAACAGTTCTAACAAATTATTGAATCTAGGAAGATGGTTGTGGAAACCACAATTGATAGCCCATTGGTTAGGAGTTCCAGGGTTCCACAGTTGTGAGTGGCAGGGATGTGTATCAAGGGAGGAGAGTGCTGTGGAACTAAGCCCTCAGATTTTCAGACCTGACCCTGACTCTAAGGAGACAACATCCTCCTGAACTGAATCACAGGCACAACAGGGGCCAGTGCTGGAGCACTGCTTATTTGGTGAGTGAAGGAAATTTCCCACACATCTGATGTCAGAGGTGTGCTGTGGAAGCAAAGTGAGAGAAACTGAGTCTGAACTTGTTTTTTGTTTTTAGAAATTGGACTCCATTCATTCCCTTTACAGATTGGATTCCATTCATCTCCATGTTGTGTTATTGTACTTGGAAAGAGATTTTTCAAAAAAGTTTTAAATGTATGTTTTTATTACATTGAAGTTATGATTTAAATAGTCTTAGCTGTATTCCCTGGGCAGACTGAGACATAAGGGAAATATTTTATCAGAGAAAAAAGATTATCATTTCAAACTGATAGATTTAAGGGAGTTGAAATAATAATCACCATCATGAAGAGGGAAATGCCCCAAGCACTGACAGACAATGCATCTAAAAAGCATAACCCTTTTTAGCAGTGCTCAATCTCTAATTTGCACAGATCAATATTTTTGGGCTGAAAACTCATCAAGAAAGAGAAAATCCCAAATCAATCAGCCATGTGTTCCTTCTTCACAGAAAATGACCTTCATAACCTACTGCCCACCACCTTAAACATTTACCAAAATGAAATAGAAACAAACCAGGCGTGGGGCCAATAAAATAGTTAAATGAGAACAAGAAAATCTGCGCACTCATATAATAAGGGTAGATATTAAGACAGCGAGATTTAAATGAAAAGGCATGTCATGTTAGTGTCTAGAAAACAAAATAGATGGCATTCAACAACTAAAAAGTAAATTTGATTTCTTAATAATCAATATGCCCTATGTATCATCAAACAACCTTGGATTGATAATAGGCATTACAATAAAATTTAAATGCTTGTGTATTTATCCCGGAGAACACTAAGAAATTCCCTGGATGAATATATTCTAACTTGTTCTGTGGTGTGAAAGATCCCTTTCTGCTCAAAAACAATACTTCCTCTGGCTTTTAAGGCAGTTTTCCCACTAATTATGTAGTTGGGTCAATAGCACATTGGAAGGTACATTCAAGTAAATAGGATTCTTTTTTTTTTTTTTTTTTTTTTGGATATCTGGGATAGAACTCGCAACCTCAGGCTTGCCAGGCAGGCACTTGTGAAGCTAAGTTAAATTCCCTGCAAATGGAACTCTTGAGACAGGTAAAAGATTAAGTTTCTAGACAACAGTATCAGCATGCTTCTTTCTTTTTAGTTTTATTGTTGTTGTTGTTGTTTATTTGGGGGATCAAACTTATGGCCTTACCCTTGCCACGCAGGCACTTGTGCCACTGAGCTAAACCCTCCGGCCAATTCTTTCTTCTTGCCAGTCAAAATAGTACTCCATTATCAGGTAGATTTATTTCAGGTACAATGATCTCAAATGACCACAGCAGAATAGTATAGGTTTGAGTTTCTGGTCATTGTACCAAGGAACCCTAGGTGGCTTTTGCCTCTCATCTCTCAGAAAAGAATGTGTGAACAGAAACATAGCCCTGGGATGCCACATGTTAACAAACACCAAATCTCTGTGCTGTGCCTTGTCTCAGTCTTTTCCCCTCAGTGCAGTAACCATGATTTCCTGTACACAGTAGATATGTTTCAGAAAATTCCCACGATTTCCTTAAAGAGATCCTGACTACCCACATCCGAATTCTTTGCTCTTACCTTTCTAAAACCACTGTATTTCCTACTAAACAGATTTGACTGCAGGAAACTTGTTGACATGGAATGATTAGAGGATCCTGTGATCTCCATTCCTTAAGCAGATGGATGCATTTTTAGCTCCTCCCTTTCAAAAGGAACTCAGACATTTGAATTTGAAATATCATAATAGGTGGTATAATTTTAGTATACTTCTTTTTTTTTCCATCACACTAAAAATATATTTTAAATACTTTATTCTTCATAGAATTTCCTTAGTCTCAGCTTCCTCAAATTCACATTTGGGGCCTTTATCAGTTGATACTGTTTCCTTACCATCATTAATCATGATCTTTGATATATTAAATTTGACTCAAATTATTGAGATACCAGTGACCTTAGGATGAATAAAAATCATAATGATATTTAATACTAAAGCCCAATCATGCCAGCTGCATACCAGTAGCTTAGTGGATCTGATGATGCATTTAGAACTGAAACACTATAGATTTTTCTTTTCATTTTGCTGGGGATTTTTTTTTTAAAGCCAGACAACTAAACTACACCACTAAAACCTCACAACGGATGTTCCTTGAAGCAGGAAGGAATACAATTGGAGGAGTTATACCAACTTTCCTGGGGATTCATTTTAAACCAACTTATTATTTCTGCAATTACTGTTCAATTATAAACAGTATCTGCATCAAATATTATTGGGGAAACTACTATGTTCTGGGAAGTTCTTAGGAATTTAATTCATGGATGAGTAAGATGAGGCTTGCCTTGGGAGAGTTCACAATCTGGGATAAGACAGCCATGAAAACACTAGATAAACTCTGAACAAGACAATATGAATCTTGCTTAAGGAATATGAAAGGTATAAAATTCCTGCAAAGTATCACTCAGCATGGCAGAAAATGAGATACTTTTAGGAACAATGGTAGAGAAGAAGAGTAGGGCTTATTGGAATATGAGGAAAAGCAGAGTAAAAACTACCACCATGTGTCTCCAAAATATAAATTCCTTTCCCCTTTGTTCCCCTAATTAACTAGCTGTGGGAAAATGTAAATGAAATATTAGCTTGTTTAGACATGTAAAACTTCCAATTCTAGAATCAGCTTTCAGCATAACTATCACATTGAGTTCTATAACTTCCAAATGACAAGGCCAGGACAGGCCTAACAACTTGAACTCAGCATTTATGGAGGAGGTCCAGAGAAGAGAAAATACTACCTCTTTCCCTACAGGTCAATCTCTACCCTACCATTGGCAACTTAGGGTACTTCTCCTTAGATCACTCCGTGGCCATATCCCAGCTCTAAAAGAGTCCTTGAAACGTTTTGATTTTCCTTCTCTGAATCTTCTACAGCACAACTTCTCAGAAATGTCTTTCCTTACTTATTGTACTCCTAAGATATATTTTATTTTTATTTCTATAATTTATTCTAAGGGCATATCTTTCACTTTTTTTTATTTAAGTGTGAAGGAACCAGACGCATTAGATAATATTTCTCATTTGTGTTAAAATTTTGCTTTCTGAGCAAGTAAATTTTGAGTCCATAGTATATCGAGATGTCATAAAAATCCCACCCTTTACCCTAAACTTTAGATTTACAAATTATGTAGGTCATACTTCTCAGTTTTGTCTGTCAAATTTCCATTCCTCTAAACTGGGGGTATAGCTTAGTGATAAAGCACTTGCCTAGCATGCACAAGTCCTTGGGGTCAAACTCAGTATTAGGGGATGGAGGAGGAAGAATTGATATTTCTTCTCCTTATCTTTAGTTCTACTGAAGCATAATAAGATACTTCATACTCTGTAGAGTTGTTGATGATTAGTAAGAAAATTGAAGATATTCCAAGATATAGAAAGTGAGAATTTCATCCCAACCTTGCCTGATGAGTCCTTTAGAATTAACGTGACAGGTTATAGAGCTACTCTGTAAGCAAGATCTGTCTGTCAGCACAAATAGTGAGAGGCATGGCATTGCTTTCCGAGAATAACATTCACTTTTAGATCACCTCTTGAAGACAACCAATGGATTCATACTGTAATTTGAGCTAAAAGCTTCAAAGTGAAAGGCAAAAGTATTTGTCCTTTGATAAGGAAATGTAAAGCAATGTAAGAAAATTGAAAACATATTTTATTTGCAATATCCTGCCTGTTTTGTCTGCTTAATTTTTTATTGATGCCTTCTTAAAAGCAGTGTTCTTTTAAAATTAAAAATTATAATGATTGTATTTCTGAAAGTAAATTGTGTGAGATGATGTGCTAGTGTTTCATCACTGTGACAAAATATCCAAGAAAATCAACTTAAAGAAGAAAATACCTATTTTGGTTCATGTTCTCAGAGGTTTCAGTCTTAGATAGATGGTTCCATTGCTTTTAGGCCTGTGGCAAGGCAGAAGCTTCTTGAACAAAGGGCAAGGTGGACGAAAACTACTACATTGTGACCACCTGGAAGCAGAAGAGAAGGAAAGAGCCCAAAGACAGGTCCAGGGGCCAGATACAATACCCAATGTCACTCACCCATGACCCACTCTTCTTTATTAGGCCTCACCTCTGGTTTCTGTTACCTCCAATAGCACCATCATGTTATGATTTAATCAAAGAATTAATGCACAGATGAACTTAGAGCTTTCATGAGCCATTTGCTTCCAAAAAAAACTCATCATCTGATAACTAAGTCTTTAGCACATAATCTTTTGGGCATATTTCATATTTATCATACAGATAACTACCTATTTGATCTTTAAGATTGGTTCTCCAATGTGCATTCTACTGTGAAAAGATTAGTCCGAGTTACTGATGATAATGATCACCCTTTGTCCATAGTAAGTTTGGAAATAAAAATACAGTCTAATTTTTGCCAATGAGACATAAAAGGCACTTGTGGACCCTCTAATGAGGAAACTCTCCTATGAGGCATTCTCTTGCTTCTAAGTAACAAATATGGGGAGAGACACCCTCTTCTCCTCTTCTGGATATTGAAATACCTATACAAGGTGATGAAGTGTCACTGAAGTCCTCTTTCTGTCAGTCCAACGTTGAAAGACACACTGGAAAGAGCAGAGTGCAGAATCAAAGCCAGAGTTTACCCATCTCCTTTCTTAAGCTGTGCTACCTCTGGACGTGTCAGATGCGTTACTTACTTTTCTTTAGTCCAATCCAGAGTAATGTATTGCATGGTTTCTCTTATAAGAGAATACCAAAGTATAAATGAGCTAAAGTGTAAGAAGAAGGAGATATGGTAGAAAATATAGAGACAGATTTTTGATGAAGGGGAAGGAGAGCCAGGGAGGTAATAGGGGAAGAGACAGAGATAAGGAAAGAGTATCAAAAATGATCAAAATACACCATATACACATGGGTGTATGTGTGGGAGCCAATTTCCCTAAACAAATACAATCACATACCAAAAGCATATACCAATTAAATGGGGGTAATCACACAAAAAAACTTAAGTTTGTATTTTTTTTTTGTAATTTTGAATCTAACTTCTCTGAGAAAAACAGATCCAAGATTCTGAATTGAATCATTAGTTAACCTAATTAGCTCATCTAGAACCATCAAAAGAGAGATATATAAAATGGCCAGGCAGATGCAGGTCAAAGGACCTAATAAATATTGTGAAGCAGATTTCTTTTGCCTCAGAGGAGGCTCATATAAAGAGCTTCCTCAGCCCCATGCCAGGAGTTCGTATGGGTGTTCTATGGGTCCATTGGCAGTCTGGTGATATCAACAGACCCACCTCTCAGACACATATTTATAAATCAATAAAAGCAAATATATGTAATTAAAGAATTAATAGTTAAGGTAATATTTAGCTTAAAATTAAATTTGTGGTATAAATTGCATGTACTTTTTCCTTAACATTTAATGTAAAAGATCATGATCACAGGTTTTGTGAATACTTCTGTGGATTATTATCCTCATTCATAATTTTAAAAATACTTAATTTCAGTTATAATTACTGAAATGATAATATAATGCTTTTATTATCCAATTTCATACACCCTTTGAATTCTATCCAAAGATCACTTAATTAGAAACCCTGTTCTTAAACCTTTTATAAAAGAAATATCCTAATCTACCTTGAAGGCAGCCTTTTGTGATTTGCAGATTGGGCCTGCATATGCTAACACTTGAGTCACAACTGTGTACTCACATCAAATGTAAATTAGGATGGCTGTCATCTCAAATCTTGTAGTTATGCTAAAAAATCTTCTTCTAGTTACGTTTGCCTAGCTAATTATGATGTTGGCTGGGAATTTTCTAGACAGCTACTAAAAAAAGAGCTTTTGTTATAATTCAAGAACAGTAATTTTTAAAACTTTCTTCTTTCTCTGTATCATCTATTAATTGGAAGGTTGCATGACTCCTCCTTGGAAATGAGCCATATGACTAGATGGTATTCCTATTCTGGCGAGGCCACAATTAAGAAGGTGAAATTCATTGCCTGCTGAAATACTCAGCCAAACGATCTTTTTTTTGAGACAAGATCTTTTATGTAGTTCAGGCTGGCTTTGAACTCTCTCTGTAACCCAGGCTAACCTCAAATTTAGCATGACACTCCTGCCTCAGTTTCCTGAATGCTGGAATTACAGGCAGGCATCACCATGCCGAGTCAGTTCTAAGGACCAGAATTTCGATTTGGATGGCCTAAAACCTCCATTATAGTTTTCTAAAAATTATGTGATGCTTTGTTCACTTAATCAACAATACATAGAACAGTAAAACATTGCTTTATGATTTCATAAAGCTTCTTAAGAAGCTGCATATTTAATGTTAAGAAAAAAATGTTTATGTTAAGAAGATAGCTATCTCCCTCTTTTCAAACTCTGCTAAAATGCATCATTTGGGACTTTCTTTGATTCATTGCAATCAACTTCACAAAATATTTGTATCTTATTTCAAATAGGCTTGGTGCACAAAAAATAAGCATTTTTTTTTGTCAAATAGTAGGCCAGCAAAAAGAGTGGAAATATGGAAGTCATAAGCCACAATAAAATAAAGAGGAATGCGGTGTGTGCACTTGTATGTATATATACAAATTATCCAATTGACTTTGGGCAACGTTATTGATATACCAGTTCTCTCAGCTCCCATTATTTATAAAAATTAAAATACTGTTAGCAATATGTTTCATTTAAAATTAACTGAACAATGTTTTGTGGTTTCTCATCGGTGTACCTTTTATACTAACTGAATTCTCATTTTTAGTGGAAGCTGGAAGAAAATCTCCTATGGAGTAGCCATTTGATCAGTTTCTCATCATTTCCTAAAATGTCTAACCTTCATTAATGACTACTATTTTACTTCCTAAAGAAACTGCCCTGAATCCTCACCTAGAGCTTATCAGGCTTCGATAATAAACAACGTGAAAAAAAAATCTCTAGGCATTAGCATTAAAAGCATCATTAGAGGAGTTGTATCATTAGAAATTATTGCCAACAGAATGACAATCAGGATAACAGGTGAATAAAAGAGGTAACAAAGTTGGTTAGAAAGAATTATACAATACTGAGTAGAGAAGAAGCCTTAAATTTTTCTACTTACTTTCTCAAAAGAATCTGAGTTCAATTGATTCTTTTCTTTGAAGTTAAAAGTGGAAACAGATCTGCATTCAGAATGAAGCCATGTAATCTTATTTGAGTAATTAAATATGCATGTATGTGTTTAATTTTTAAGTAACTTAGATATAAAAATGATATATGCTAAATTTTTTTCAGTCTAATAAAGGACATCTATGAAAAACTCACAATTAACCTCATACTTCATGGTAAAAGACTGAATGCCTTCCACTAAGAAGAGGGTAAGATTCTTGCCAATACTGCATTACAGTTTCTATCTAAGATAATAAGGCATGAAAGTGGTAAAAAAAATACATTCAGAAATGAGCTAAAGCTATCTCTACTCATAGATGTCATGATCTTATATGTAAAGAACACTAAGGAACCACTAAAAAAGCATTAGAACCAATTAACAAGTTCAGCAAGATTGCAATATATTAAGTGATGAAAATTAATTGTCCTTTTCCAAGTAGCAGTTGGATAGTTAATTAATTGTGATGTCAACTTGAACAGATCAGCAAATGCCTCGAGTTCTAGTGGAGTGCAGTTGTGGGTATGTCTTGGATGATTGACAAGAAAGCACAAGCTGAGGAGGGAAGGCACACCTGGCGTGAGTGGCACAAACTAGTAGGCTTGTCGCCTGGATAGAGTAAGAAGAAAAAGAGAAAGGAATTCTTTTCTTTGGCATCTTTGTCAGAGCTCTGTCTTCACGTTCACCTTTGGACATTCGTCACACTTCCTTCAGACTTCCAGAGCAGACCCTTCAGTTTTCCCAGACTGCACTACGGTGAGCTCCAGGCCTTCAGCTTTCAACTGGGCCCTCAGTTCACCAGCAATGGCCATTTTGCAATTCTTACCTCTGGTTCCAAAGGTGGGCACTATATAGCTATGGAATAAATATTTATATATTGTATTAAACCTATCCCTCTAGTGAAGTATAACTGATAAAAGCAGTAAAATTTCTAAAACTTAAGGAAACAACTAAATTCACAACAGTATGAAAAAGAACAAAATACTTACTTATAAACTGAATAAAAGTAGAACTTGAAAACTGCAAAACACTGTTTGAAGAAAAGAAAGAAAATCAAATAAGTGAGAAAATAAGGGCAAAATTCCCCAGTTTTGCTTACAATTTCAACTCAATCTCTATTGAGTCTCAGGTGAATTTTTGCAGAAATTAGCAAGCTTATCTTAAATTTATATGAAATGAAAGGATACCAAGAAAAGCCAAGACATTTAAACAACAAAGAGAAAATAGGAGAACACACATTGTTCAATTTTAAAATTTAAAGCTATAATAACCCAGATATTATTGGCCCAGAATAATGACATGCAGATCAATGGAGTAGAGACAGTAGTCCAGGTATCAACCTATTTGTGATGAACAGATTTTAAGGAGGGCAAGATTATAAAGTGAGGGAAAATTGCTCTAAACAAATGTGATGTCTTAGCTTTACATCAATGTTAACAAAATACCTGGGAAAAATCTCCTAAAGGAGGAAAGATTTATTTAAACTTACTTTTGAGCCAAACTATAACATTGTACCTCTGACCCCACAAACGCTCATCTCCACCTTATTATGCAAAATGCTTCAGTCCATATCTAAAAGTTGCCAAATTTCAGTGGTTCCAATACCATGATATCTTAAAATTCCAAGTCCAAAGTCTTTTATAAGACCCAAATATAACCTCCTGTAAAATTCCAAGAGAAAGTTATATACTTTAACATATAACAGTAAGTTAGAAACAGGGGTAAATTGGCTCACTCCAAAGGGAGGAATAAGAAAACAGCAAAGAGGAATTTGACCAAAGCAAGATTGAAACCCAGCAGGAAAAACATTAACTCCTAAAGCTCCATTTCTGGTAAACAGGGCACTTGGTGGAATGATGTGAGCACCAAAGGACTGGGACAGTCTTGCTCCTGTGGCCTTGCTGGTTGCCACCCACACAGCTTCTCTCTTTGGTTGACTCAGCTCACTGCTTGCAATTTTCCTCAGCAGATGTTTCACAGTCCTCGCATCTCTGACTTCCTGTGGTCTCTGCTGCAGTTTCACATTACTTTCACAGCTTTGTGCAAACCTTTTCAGGGGCCATCTGCAGGGAATCTGACCCTGTCATACATTGCCTGACTTGCCAGAAGTGCCTTTGAAATTTTGGTAAAAGCCTCCATTCCCTATAATTCTTCCATTCTGCATACCTGCCAAACCAGCATCATGGGGACAATGCCAACGTCTGTCACCAGCTCAAACAGTAGCTGGGCCCTCTTGCCTGATGACACAATAGCATCCAAATGCCTGGGTGGCTGGACGTGATGAAATGAATCCTATGGAAATAATCTCCCAGGCATCCCTCTGTAAACAAGGTGACTGAGTACTCTGCTCACCGAAGAATCTTTCAAATGTGCTTACCCTTATACATCCTTGAGCCTTCAATAAATAACGTCAGCCAATTCCTGAGAACCACTCAAGATGTTTTTTCCATTGTCCCAATCCAAAGTACCTGTCTTTATTTTTTTTTTAATGGTGTTAGTCTCTTTAGCAACGCCCTTCTTAAATGGACACTACCTTCTCTTCTGGACAAACTACAAGTTTTTTTAAATCTTTCTCTCTGTGTTTTGCTCCTGGTTTTCAGTGTAAATCTGGACCAAGCAGCCAGAAGTCCCAAGGCATAGGGAAAATACAACTCCTGACCTGCTAGAGTCAAATATGCTGAGTTCATAGCTCCACAGCATCAAGGAACAAAGCTGAAGACCAAAGGAAGAATTTAGGAGACTTTTCCTGGGAATAAACAGCTCTGGATTTACAGGAGGAGTTCCAAGTGAGTGGCCACTGAGGCCCTTGGTCAGGAATAATTTGTACATCTGTCACAACCTGGGTACCACATGGGAGAAATTATCATCAACCTATAGGGTTATAAGTATAGCCATTTAGATAATATTAATCCAATAGGGAATCAAGCCATATATACATAGTAAAAGTGCATGGAAAGAACAAAACCATTTTGGGAAACAGATAGGCCTGGATGTTCTGGTCACAGAGCTGGAGGACAGAAGCCTAGCAGACTTACTAGACCAGGTGGCACTAATTACAGTATAACTCCAAGCTACGATTGCTTTCTTACCAAGGCATGGAAGTCTGGCTATTCCATCTCTATTTTGAGGCCTGGCCTCCCTCATATGCACACTCAGCCACAATGCTGTTGTCTTTATTTTTTGTGCTGACTTCCTTGAGGGCCCAGTCCTTTGACTGCATATTAGTTTCCAGCTAATTTAGCTGCTACAATATACATGTCATTGGTTAAATGTCATCCTCCCTTTAAATTTCTCCATCAGACAAACTAGCCAGTCACATTTAAATTCAGTTTCTTGCAGATGAGAGCACGAACAGAACACACAAGTTCTTTGCCAGGATGTACCATGAACGGCCTCATGTCTGATGCCCAGTAGAGCCCTTGTTCCTTTGAAGACCTCCTGAGACTGGCCTTTACTTTCTGTAACTCTGTCACGATTCTGGTCTCTTCTGCTCACATCAGAATTGTCAATTAATCTCTGTGCAACATTCCAGGACTTCTGAGGCTGATAACACCAGAATTTTCTAAACTTCTTTTGTTTTGAGGGGATAGCAGGAATTGAACTGACGACCTCATGCTTGCCAGGCAGGCACTGTGTCACTGAGCTAAATCCTTGGCCCCAATTTTGTGAACTTCTGCACAGAGTACTAAAGACTTCAAACAACATGGTCAGGTATAATCACAGCAAGAATTTCACTTTTTTGGTGCCAATTTTCTGTATTAGCTTTTTACTCCTGTGACATACAACCCATGATAGCCAACCTGCAGGAGGAAGGGATTATTTTCACTCACAGTTTCAGAGGTTTTAGTCCACAATAAGTTGGCTCCAAGGCAGAAACTTCATGGTAGAAAAGTTGCTCACATAACGGCAACCAGCAAATAAAGTAAAAGAGCCAGAAAAAGTGAAAGGGACTAGAGACAAGATACAACCTCCAAAACCGCAGTGTCCCTTCAGAACTGGGCCCCTCCTCCTAGTGGCCTATTTAGCTATAAACTCATCAGTGGTTTAATCCATTGATGATGTTAGCACTCTCATTATCCACTTACCTCTCTAGGGCCCATCATTAAACACTGCTGCATTAAGAATCAATCCTTCAGTACACAAGGTTTGAAGAAGGACACTTCATATTTAAATCACAGCATCGTATTAGAATCATAGGATATCTACACACTAAATAATAGGCTGAACTCCACTACACACAAAGTAATGCACAAAGGATCATTGACCAAACTGTAAAAGCTAAAAGTATAAAACACTTAGAACACAACATAAGTCCTCATGAATTTGGGTTAGGCAGAGTTTTCTTAGGCACATTGTTAAACACATAAGAGAAAAATATAAATTGGACTTCTTAAAATTAAAAATGCCTGTGTTTCAACTGATGATAGCAAGAAAGTTAAAAGACAACCCCAGTGTGGGAGAAAAATACTTACAAGTCATATATTTGGCTTGTGACTTATTTTCAGAATATATAAAGACCACTTAAAATTCAGCCATCTAAAGATTAAAAATCCAATTGAACAATGAGCAAAGAATCTGAATGGAAACTTCTTTCAGGGAAGACATTAAAATAGTCAATAAGCACATGAATACAGGCTCATCATTGTTTATTAGGGAAATGTAAATTCAAGTCACAATAAAATCTAATTCACATCTGTTAGAAGGGCTGTAATTTTTCTAAACATTTTAAAAAATAAAACAACAAATGTCAGTCATTTGGATAAGGGGGAATCTTCGAACATTGCTGATGACAATGTAACTTGTTACATGCTTTTGAAAATAGTCTGGCAGCTCCTAAAAGTTTAAACAGACTTATCATGTGATCCAGTAGTTCTACTTTTAGGAATCAAAACTTACATCCACACAAGCACTTGCATAAAATGTTTCGAAAAACATTGCTCATAATAACCGACATGTGGCAAAAACTGTTGATTGATGTAGTCAAATGTTCAGTATCTATTAGGTGGAATATTATTGAACAAATTAAAAGATGGCTGATTTAGTTTATAGCTTCCTTGGGAAGGAAGTGTATCATGAAAAACACGCACAATGTCCAAAACAGGCAAATACAGAGAAACAGAAAGCTTAGTGACTGTGTAGGGCTGCAAGGGATAGAGGAAAATAGGAGCCACCACTAATGGACAGAGAGTTTCTTGCCAGGACAGTGAGAGTGCTCAGGCTGTTGTGGTGGGTGCACAATTCTGTGCATGTAATGCAGAGCATTAAATCCACTTTAATATGAACATTTATTCTCACATTTCTTCTCTTCCTCGACAGGGGAGGGTTGAATAAAAAAAAAATTTCCAAAACAACTACTTCTGTATAACTGCAGAATTAATATTTATACACATAGAATATGATATTAGATATCATATAACAGAAACTACAAATTTTATAATACCTACTGAGTCCTTTAAATACATCTGCACATTTACTGTTCTTCAAATCTGTATCAGGATAAAGAAACAGTAGTTTAAGGAAATGTTATTGTTGTGGCTTGTGTTTAGATGTTCCCCCAGAGCTCCATATGCTCACAGGTGGAGCTTTTCAGAAGTGACTGGATCTAGAGTATGTGAATGTAGATTAAGGATGTGTAACTATGGATTAAAGGTGTGATAACTAGATTGATCCACTGATTGGTTTAGCATAGTTCTAGCTGTGGATAACAGGAAGGCCTATCCTGAGTATGGGTGGTAATACCCAAAAGGCTTGTGGCTTGAACGGGATAAAAGTGAGGTTTGCTGCTGCTGCTTCCTGTCCGCCTTGCTGTGGACTGTTTCTCCTCTGCCATGTCCTTATGTCCTTATGTCACCCTGTCTTGGAGCCAGCCAACTATGAACTGAAACCTCTACAAACTATGAGCTAAAATAAACGTTTCCTCCTTTAACTTGTACGTGTCTGGTTTTTTGTCCCCAAAACAGGAAATGTAACTAAGACACTTGTACTTTCTCCAAATTCACAAATCTCATAAGTGATGGGATTTAGAGAACAAGC